TAGTTTTCGTCCAGGGCCAATTAGGGCACAGTCTTCACCCAGGGCGTCGATATACACGTGGTGGAAAGTGTATAACTAAATATATATATATACGAAAGCTTCGATGGCTTCGTGGGTAGTGTGCTAGCCTCCTAGTCGGAGATACTCGAGGGGTCGTGGGTTTGAATCCCGTCAAAAATTATCAGAATTTTTCTCGGTCTTTTCCGATGGAATGAGTATCTAGTATGCCGAAACACTACTTATACGAATTTTAAAAGAAATAGTGGATTTTTCATGGTGATGTCTGGACCTCCAGGAGCTTCCTTTGCGAAGGAAAGCTAAACACCTGGCCAGCTCATCAGGTAAAGTCACTGTTGGTTATAAAAAGGTCTGTACAGCGAGTTAGATGCTTTATTACAAAAATATCTTTCCATTAAACTTGATAATAGCTGGGGTGTGCTTGAGACAATCGCTGCACCCTGTAAATAGTATCCAAAGGGATGGATGACCGAGTCCTCTGAGGGAAACTTTGCAAAGCGCACGCATGAAAGACTCGCATGCGTGAGGTCATAGGATGGTAGTTATGACGGAAAAAAACTAGGAAAGATATTGGAACATAAGATACGTATAAACCCTGGAATAGGTATGCGTTGGGATCATACTACTACTACCAAACAATATATGTATATACGGTCACTACCACTGTATTGTCGTGCATATATGGCTTTTTTTGTAAAGTGTACTACCCGTACACCTAGCTATAAATACATTTCTGAGCGCGCGGTGGCTTAGTCGGCTAGGTCATGAATTGGCACGCGGGAGACCCTGGTTCGATTCCCGGCCAGTGCGACTTTTCGGGCAAGTATCTCTGTGATTTTTCACATGTGCTTTTTCACTACGCAATGCTCCTCGAGGAGGGCTTAGGCGACCTTCTCGTAGCAACAATGGCCTAATTCCCCCTACCCCCCTCTTGTAATGGGAGGCCTCCCATCCCTTTCCTTGTCCCTTTCCCAAGTGCCAAGTGCCCATAGTAGTGTCCTCATTACAGGAGGCGGACATAGAGCACTATAATATTTAAAAAACAATATATATACATACATACCTCTGTATAGCATGTACAATACAAGAGGAGGGAGAAACAAGTCGACATTGTTACGGAATTGAATTTTAGGCCGCGGTCGCGAGCGTGCCGCTGATTACTCGGTGCAGCTACCTCTCTTTTTCCGTGTTTTTCCTTCCTCCCTCTCTTCCTGCAGCCCTGCGTTGTTTACCCTCCCACTCCAATTATTTTTCTCTTCTCTCACCCTCACCCCCCTTATACCTACGGCACACGATTTCCCACAGTGACGCCGAACGAGCATCACGAGGAAAAAAAAAAAAAAAAAACAAGGGANGTCGAGCGTTAGCACTCTGTACGCTAATCTGCTCGTTGTGGTCGGTGTGGCGGTGCCCGTGACTGTCAGCGTAAGCCAACAAGTGCCCAAAGCTTTGGATCAGGTGACTCGAAATTTAGCATGATGTACTGCAGTAGATACACGAAGCATGACCGTAGTTTTTATTATTCTTTTTTTTTACTTAAACTGTTTCACGAGTTAAATGTGGCGGTGATAAGAGACCGACTATTATTAATACTACGCTTATAGAAAATTTTTAAATTTACACTAAATATTAGTGAATTAGTGAGGCAAGTGAGAGTCAATCAAAACGAGATCACCAAATGGATTTTTTTTTAATTTGAGAAAGATCTAAGATGATAAAAATTGTTAATCATAACTCCATAAAAAAGTATAAATTAGAAAAAATACACTAGCTCCAAAGAGAAAGAGAGTATTTTCAATTAAAAAACTGAAAAGGAGACATAAATTCGACACATCCGAACAAAGGCTAGAAAAAAATTGGTTCGAAAAGCTATGCGTAAACAAAAAATCTTATGTGTTATTTTCGAACGCCTTACAAGTAGCCTGAAGCTATAACATAGCGTTAATTTTTAATAATTTTTTAATAAGCGATATAGAATTTTTCAAATTTTACGGGCTACGCAAAACGCTGATCCGATCTCTGTTCTTATTACTAAATGGTCTAATAATGTTAAAATCGTGTTTTAATGTTCGTTTTGCTTATAATCTCGGAACGGTTTGACGTACAGAAAAAATAAAAGTATCAGCATGTCGGGCAAAAATTTTCTATAAATGAGTAACTTGAATTTTGTTTCAACAAACGCAAAATAATGAGAAAAAAAATGAAAAAGGCATTTTGGCAGTATACCTGTATTAAGAGTAAGTGAGATAGAGAGAGCCATTGATCTTCTGCTGTTGCGCTCACTCTTTTTCTCTCTCTCTCTCTATTGTACTTATACAGGTAGATTTTTTTCATTGTTTTACCTAATATTTTGCGATTGTAGAAAATGATAAATTAATATTAGAATTAGTATTATGTTTATACCTTTTTTTTAAAACTTCTTCTTTGCGAACATAATCAATTTAAAATATAAATACCAGAACGCAAAGTTTTCCTGGGGCCTTCCAATTGTTTTTATTAAAACTCCATCTTAACCCATTTTTTAGTAAACAGCTAACAAATTCGCGCACGTGCGCAACTATGCAGTACGGACAGGTATCCAAAAATAGACAGAGAGACAGAGAAAGTAATACACATGAACGTATTGTTAAACATATGTACGTACCAATGTGTAAGTAGGTAGTGTAAATACTCTTTGTGGTGTATTATTGTTCTTTTTCGTTCTCGTTATTTATATGTTAATAAATAAAAAAAAAGTAAACATTATTTAATATTTGCTTTTTCCTCATCTATAATATCCACTGATGAAAATACATCCTAGTAAATAAATTTTCTGTTTAATATAAAATTTTTTTCATAAAACGCTCAAGCATTTTTGAGAGGATAGTTTGCCCTTGGTAGGAGAAACAGAATTTGCCACATAAGCGCCTTTGCTCTGTGGCTATTACGTCCCTTGGCCCGAAAAATAGCCCAAGAGACGATGGCACTTATCTGACGAAAACTACTATTTTCATCATAGACAACCAAATACTACAGAGTTTAACAAGATATTTTTCCACCTTCTATCCTCAAAATAGCACCTTCGCCGCTTGATTTTTGGTTCTCAGACGGAAAAATAGTATACGAAACTCGTTCGAAAAGGCTTCTTTACGAACCACGTTACGGCCCTCGTCTTCGGCTCGTGCCGTAAACCTCTCGGTTCGTAAATCGAAGCCTTTGCAAACTGTTTTAAAGATGTATTGATTGATTTAGGTGGTATTATCCGTATTATAACATTAAAACTAAGAGCCTGAAGTCTTTTAAACAATCTAGAAACAACTTAAAACTGCTAAATGTTTTATAGTATACATGTGTTCATGTTCCTAATAATAACACCACGCTTGTGATTACTCTGTATTCAAAATCTATTACAAATATTGAATTCATCATGAATATATAATAGTATTAATAATGCCAATAAAAATAATTGACATTATATGCGTAATATAATGTCAATTATTTTTATTGGCATTAGCTAAGAGCAGTATAAAATTATTAACATTATTCTACTGCTCTTAGCTAATGCCAATAAAAATAATTATTTTTGAAATCCTATACTGGCATGACATAAAAACCTGTAGTTTGAAAAAGGTTTCATTTCATTCTTGGATATTTTGTCGTACATTATTTGACCTGAGTAATAATATATATTTTTTGTCGAAGTACATTTTTTTCTGCTTTTTCCGATGGTATAATTTTTTTTGCATTTCGAAAATTACTGCAGATTTTCGGTCCTCCATTTGCAAGAATAAACTCTAAAAAGTTTTTATGGTTTTCCGTGAACGCTACTAATCCAACGTCTTTCACGTTGCATGGCATGATGCATTTACGAACATACATGTATACATGTAACATAGGTATATATTTTCAATGGTAAAATATAATGAATGATGTTATTCAAACGAATAAAAGGGTTTATTATCGAAATGAAAACAGAAATGAAAAAAATCCTGCTTGAGCAAACAAGTGTTTTAAAAAGATCAAATTTGAACGATCAATACGAGGCAAGTGTTTTAAAATCATTAAAGGCAACTTTTTCAAACTCGGTTGCCAGTGCTCATTTTGATTTGCCACAATATTTAATTATTACAAAAAAATTGTGACAACAAATAAAAAAAAAAAATTGTTAAATCGGATGGATTGAAAAAAATGAAAAGTAGATTCAATTATCAACCAAAGAATTTGCAGGTTTTAATAACTTTTCTTTATAAAAAAGGGTTCGTAAGATTCAAGTAAAACTTCCTTTTTTGATGTATTATTTGCTCATGCTGAGTTACTGATATTCAGCTGGTAATGGGTATATTAAAAGGTTAATTTTTAGTTGGATAAAGAAATTTGAATTATAAACGAGAAAAAAATAAAATGGGTTTCTCGGTGATAAGCTATGTAAGATAGTTTTGGATTTACAAAATCTATTGATAAAAAGAATGCCAAATGCATTGAAATTCACAAATTAAACTTTTTTTTTATCAAAGAGTTAGGACCACTTTCCAATGAAAAGACTACTATTTAATTTTCATTGATAACTACTAAGTCTTAAAGGAAAGGTTGTCGTAGGCATGCAAGTGTAATTTAATTTAGAAAACACGAGAAGATAGTGTAACTTTTGGCTAGTTTATTAAAGAAACTTAGCTTTGTAGTAATAGCTTCGATTTTACTATACCTTTTCTGTAAAAATTTTATCCTTTAATAAACAGTATCTTGACGGAAAAAGAATTGAACATTAACTTTTTAGCCTGGTAGTAAAAAAAAAATAATATTAATGAAAAAAGAAAAAAAAAAAAAAAAAGTTAATGCAAGGATATAAATGCTTATTAGCTTCTATTATTCCGTATTATCATAACTTTGCATTGTAACTTCTAATCACTTTTGGCCATTTCTGTCCCCCTTACTAAATAAGTAATAAACACCTCTCAGCCAAGAGAAAAATGTAATTTAACATGTATTCCTTCCTCAACTTCAAGAGCACTTCTTACGAGAGTGGGTAGTAACATATCTCTACCAGCATGTGTTCCACAAGAGCAGGAATCACTGGCGAGTCAGACCGAGTCTGCAACGCCGGGCTCTTATCAAAAGCCAATCCTCTTACAACTGACGCCCGTGACCACCACAAGCGAGCCTCTGCCCAGTCCCAGCACACAGAAAGGTAAATGTGCACTTTTAAGTACATTTGACACATGCCAATGACATGACCATCGGAGATTCTTTATTTCCGTATCTCCCTGATGTGAGCATATGACCAAAGAGTGGTTAAACTTAGTTTAATCTTTTTTTTTTTCAGAAAAATCTCTTGAAGATACCGAAGTCTCGAGCAAAGCTAGCCAGAAGAGCCAAAAACAGCAGCACTCGGAGCTTATGTCGAGCGTTAGCACTCTGTACGCTAATCTGCTCGTTGTGGTCGGTGTGGCGGTGCCCGTGACTGTCAGCGTAAGCCAACAAGTGCCCAAAGCTTTGGATCAGGTGACTCGAAATTTAGCATGATGTACTGCAGTAGATACACGAAGCATGACCGTAGTTTTTATTATTCTTTTTTTTTACTTAAACTGTTTCACGAGTTAAATGTGGCGGTGATAAGAGACCGACTATTATTAATACTACGCTTATAGAAAATTTTTAAATTTACACTAAATATTAGTGAATTAGTGAGGCAAGTGAGAGTCAATCAAAACGAGATCACCAAATGGATTTTTTTTTAATTTGAGAAAGATCTAAGATGATAAAAATTGTTAATCATAACTCCATAAAAAAGTATAAATTAGAAAAAATACACTAGCTCCAAAGAGAAAGAGAGTATTTTCAATTAAAAAACTGAAAAGGAGACATAAATTCGACACATCCGAACAAAGGCTAGAAAAAAATTGGTTCGAAAAGCTATGCGTAAACAAAAAATCTTATGTGTTATTTTCGAACGCCTTACAAGTAAACAATATCTATAACGTAGCGTTATTTTTTTTTTTCAGGTCTTTTATCTCTACTTGTACATGGTGAGCGTAGCTTTCGTCGTTGCGATGTATGGTACGTTGGCACGTGACAAGGCTCTCAAAAAAATGATCGTCAAGCATGTGCGGTTACGAGAGAACACCTACACTTTCGCAGAAAACGGAGCTACCCTCGGGAGCGCATCGTCCCAGGTGAGCCGAATAATCGATCGCGTTTTAAAAAAAATTATTGAAATTTCACTGTAAATGTAATCGACAGACTTATCTCCATAAGGATGTTTTAGTTTGTCATGTTAGTCTTATAAGTAGTGCCATATTTTGTGCTACTAATATTTTTTGTTCGATGATAAAAAAATTTCAATATTTCCTTAAATCTTGGGAAATCATCAAATTCTTAAACAAATAAATCTTGTTGATTTTCCTTGCTAGTAGCAGCTAACAGTAGATAACTTTAAAAACTTATTTTCTTAAATTAAAGAATATTCACGTCAGTAAACTAAATTAAGGACTATCATAAAGTTAATTCAAACTTTCTCTTGCCTTCTACCTAATACTCAAGTGTATACTACGTCTAATTGATCTCCATTAGCGAAAAATAATTATGCTTCTCTTAGTTATATTTCCGTTATATAGATAATAATAATAATAAGAGTCAAAATATAAATAATAATAT